TTTACAAGGCTGCAGTGTTTAACGGAAGGAAAGAACGTGGCAGAGGGTCACATCCTAGTTGGATGCTTGCAGGGTCGTTAATGACAAAGTAACTTGTTATTACAGCAGATAACATTTAACATGGATACATATGATAACCTTCTGTTTCAGGCCTCACTGATTAGAAACAGCTGATAGGACCACGTGGTCTGTGCTGGGTTTGAGAAACCTGAAGCTGAGTAAGGACATTATGTTCTCCACATTGGTTGCTGAGATGGGGACACATCATCGAGGCGAGGAAAGGTCCAAGCACCTGTACATACCCAGAGGTAGCCTGCCTTTGAGCATGTCTGTACAGATGTAGTACAGCAGGTGTCCACAGGATGTAGGAAGCTGTCTCTCTGACAACCTTAAAAAGAAGGCGATGATGCTCGTGTTGCTCTGACAAGCTCCCACAGGCGTCCTCGGGCCATAACCAGAACAGAAGCTCACAGACGACTGTGTGACAGCGAGCAGACACGAGCTCGGCTGATTCGGGGCTGTTTGCATCATTCTCCATGTAAGCAAGCCCAGCAAGAAAACAACATGAATGTCTGCTACTCGTTTCTGCACAGTCACGTTTCCATTGAATGACTCTGTGACTGCAGGAATGTTCAGCTGGCACAAATGTTCGTGCTGCAGGCAAACACATATCAGCCCGTATGGAAAAGATATTTATAAATCTTCTAACGTTTGTGTCTGTCGTGTGTGAAACTTGGATGAAAAGCATACGAGAGTGAAAACAGATATAAGACCCCTTGAAAAATTATATAAATGAAACGTGTATGTTTTGGATACTTCCTAAAACAATATGTGAAAGTGATGAGAAACGAGTAAGTCATATATGAGTCACTATGAAACAGGCCAAATCTCATGCACGTCTTTTATGAGTTTTTTCTATTTCTTTTCCATGTGGCAGGTTTCCACTCATCTAATGTCCATTTGTTAGGTCTGGGTAGTGTCTTAGACTCTTCTCTTCTAATAAGTACAAATCTACATGACTTTACTAAGACCAGGGATACAGAACTGTGTCGCTCACATGCATGCACTCAGACCCACTAGTTAATATAATCAGTACCCAGAGGACACACGAGGACACGGGGAAGCCCAACACTTTCATTTACACTCCGACAGCTCAGAAATGAAAATGCTTTGAATGTTTTCATGAACGGTGAAGTGATGATCTGTCCTGCAGTCGTTCATCAGCCGTCTGAGGCTCTGTCCTAACAGTGGCGTGGAGTTCGCTGTGTGTGTTTGACAGTGTCGTGTTTCGGTCCTTCAAAAACAACAAGATTGTCGTAGAAATGTGAATGTGTGAGTGTAAAGGACTCGCCCTGCTTTGACACTGCTCCAAAGGAACATTACAAATGTAAAATGGATTTAGCTTTTTCATCCATGAATCTCTTTCAGACAGGCGCTGCATGTCAGAGCTACCATACAGTACCACCAAACCCAAAAGCTGGTAATGACCACAAGCACCACTGTTTGTGTGAAACACCCTGATCTGTCTCGCTGACGCTCTTCAGCACAATTATAGCTCTGTGATCGCTCGGGAAATGAGTCCTCGAAACCTGGAGTCACTGCTAGAGACATATAACTCCCAGAGAGAGGGCCAATAAAGGACGGGGATGGTGCAAAGAGGATGACGAGGAGGTGGGAGGGTGAGAGTGACAGGAGGAGGGGGGCTGTTAGAGTGCAGGGGGGCTGTGCAGCAGGTAGAGCCGCTAGGTGAGATAAAAAAGAAATCATTCAGTCAATCAGCCCGGGCCGTGGTGCAATCATGAGATCTCATCTGCTTTCAAGAGCAATTCTGCCTTTATTGAGCTGTTGTGTCTCAAACAGGGAGGCTGCAGCGGCCAAGCTTAACCCGTGCACTGCCACATAGAGCTGTCACCACACACTAATAAAGTATTCCTACCTGACTTCAGCGTGCTGCTGAGAACTAACGATGAGCTGTTTCCTTCAGATCTCAGCCTCAAGGTCAGCGCTGAAGTGACCAAGCCCACCTACGGGTGCCAGGTGACCATCCAATCAGAGCAGGAGAAACAAATGCTAAAGATGTGTCGAAGGGAGGAGAAGAAAGAGAGGAAGAGATTCAAAGGAGGCGATGAGGGTGACTCTACGGATGCTCTCCTGACCTTTGACCCCAGAGAGATGAGAGCCCAGCGGTACGTCGTCTCTACAAACCTCATCTTAGTGTCTGTGTGTCTTTGTTGTGTGCCCACCTGGGCTCTCAGGTGTGTGTGACTGGCAGCCTCCTGCATTTTTCATGACGGCTTCAAAAAAGCAAAGCTGCTTTTCTTGGGGGGGGGCTGGAGGGGGGCTGGAGGGGGGCTGGAAGATCCTTCCAAAAGTTTAATCTCAGAGGGTAAAAAAGCAGCGATCTGTTTAATTAAAATGTTAGCGTGTGCAGATCCAGCGCAGTGTGACGACAAAGATTAGCCCCTTTATAAAGCCTCACATCTTTGCCTCTTCACTGGGCTCATCCATCACAGGTTTGTTTCCACAGCTGTGGATCAAGATGAGGGCCGGGCCGTGGATCTGACACTGTGCCAATTTAAATGTTAAAGCTCTGTTTACTGTCTTACTGTTGTACGTGTGCCTCGGTGCAGAGAGCAGGCCCTGCTGACTGCCCGCCACGAACCTGTGCTGAGCAGAGACAGGGTCTACGAGCGGATCCGATATCCCAACGTCTACGACAACCTCGCAGAGGCCACGAAGACGGCTGCGTTTGTGGGAGGAGCCAGGGTGAGGCTGATTTTACTGTGCTGCACGCTCTGCCTCTGATGTGTGACATGACCCACAGGTTTAAAGTGCGCGTGCTCTGTGCTTCGTTTTTCCTTTTCTTACTGTTCTGGAGGAAGGCTAAATCATTTATCTGTGCAGCGGGGATAATCCCATCTTAACATTGTGTGATAACATCATTCTTGCTGCTTCATTGCATTTTACACTGTGGGAGATGGCTCTCACAAAGTCTGAGCCCGTGTCAGAGTGTAGAATCACTTTAGTGGCTGTCAGGCTGCTGAACGAATCACAGAGAAGAAACACAGTGTGACCATCTCACGGCGTGGGCCTGTGACCACGACACAGTGCTGAGAACCATCACAGGAAATAGTCTCTGGGCTCAGGACGCATGTGTCTGTGCAGCAGCAGGTCTCCTTAATCACTGGCTTCTGCTGCTCGGTAAATGAATGAACGTGCGTGAGAAAAGTGATTAAGCCTGAAGAACATCTGGAACTAAAGGCTCAGCGATCAGCTTGAGCTGTCGGGCAGAAGGAAACGTTTCATATGACCGAACCAGCTGACTGCTTCATGAAGCATGTTTCCTCCATCAGCTGGTAGAAACTGTTCCTCTGCACAGACAGGAAGTAGGTTCACTGATGATGGTCAGAGATGGGGCGCTCTAGTGTAGAAAGCTGAGCTCGTGTACTCGTGAACCTGTAAGTCAGACGCTTCACAGTGGCTTCATTTCCCATGTGACAGTTACTGCAGTCGGTCAGGTGGGCTCTTTTTCTCTTGACTGATTTATACGTGGAATAAATGTATAGGCACTGACTTGATGTTCATATTTAGTCTTTATTATCATCAGTGACAGTTTCAACGTGGTTGTGTTAGACTCTGTAGTCACATAGAGAACATGCTACAGGCCCAGTCTGGGCTCAGAGAGGCGTTTTGCTCTGTGGACCTACATCCTGTGTTGTGTTATGGACCCAGGCTCCTCTGTGCTGTTTAGCTCTAACTCCCACTTAACTCCAAATACCAAGTACACTCTGCTCATAGTGTTTTGCGTTTTTGCAGTGGGGAAACTAAACGTATTGCTTCAGATTCACAGTGTTCAAATTCCTGTTAAATGTTCTGTGTCTTTGAGATATTGTGTCAAACCTTTTCTTCTGTTTGGTCGTTCAGATGCTGCTGCCCGAGGGAATCCGCAGAGAAAACTGTAAGATGTACGAAGAAGTGGAGATCCCACCCAATGAGCCCATGCCTGTTGGGTTTGAAGAAAAGCCCGTCTACATCTCTGAAATAGACGAGGTAGGAGCTGCTGTGTGCTTAGATCTGTTTGCGGGGACCAACAGCCAGCTGTGGGGACAAACGCCCCGCCCCCA